CATGTTAATCCACTGACTTATTGAGCAGTTATGGATAGCTAGTGTGTGTGTGAAAATTGTACTGGGGTAGAGAATGGTCCATCCATGAAATAAAAATTTACTAAGCACCTGCTATGTGCTGGCCTTAGGGTACACAAAAATGAGAAATAAAGAAGTCTTACTTCCAAGTGCCACACAGTTGTATTTTTAAAACAGATAAAATATACCAGCTCAACAGGAAATGATAGGTATATGTGACCTCATTGCTCAAAGTGTGATCTTGGGATGAAAAGTACTAGCATCATTGGAAATTTGTTGAAATGCAGGATCCAGGCCCCTTTCTAGTCTTATTGACTAGAATCTGTATTTTATCAAGATTCCGCAAGAGACTTGCATGCTTATTTAAAGTTCTAGACACATCAATCTAAGACATGGTGCCTACCATTCTGAGGCTTACAAAGGTAAATCATTCAAACATGCAAATGCTAGAGAGATACACAACTCTCTGCATTCAGAGATCCAGGATCCTATTTAAACAAAAAGGAACATGGGGGAAGGGCTTAGAATCAGAGCCATTAATTGAAAGCAAGGTGGGGGACAGGACCCTAGGAGGAGCCACTGCTTGTCCAAGCCTTGGAGACTACAAAGGTGGCTGCATCTGGAAGGATAGGTGGGCATGTGGCAAGGGTCAGGCAGACTGAGTGTTGCAAGTAGACTGGAATGTGGCTAAAGTCAGAGCAAAGCTCTGGAGGAAGGAAGCCAGAGATGAAGGCATTAGATCTGGGTGTGATTTCTGTCTCTGTGACCTCTGCAGGTGTTTAGCCTTGCTGAGACACTTTTCTCACCTGTAAACTCAGCTAATGAAAGGTACTGGTGAGGTGATTACCAGATTAAACATCATGTCCAAAACACTTGCCTGATGACATTACTTAGCAGTAACTTAGCAAAAACTAACATATGTCAAATGCCTGATAGGGGCCAAACACCATATTTCAGGATTTTCCCAACTTAAATAAATTCTCTATCATCTTGTAAATTTGAGGGGATTATTATTGTCATTTAATAGCTAAGTAAACCAAGACACACAGAAATTAAGGAAGTATCCCAAGATCTCTCAGCTATCACTCACCTCATCCATGCTTTCTCTAGACTGAGTCTCATCAAAATTGTAGCTCAGTGCATGGGCTAGTATTTCGTCAGTGTCATGATGTGCCATTATGGGACTACTGCTCTTGGCAGGTTTCCATGCCTAAGACTTAGCACACAAAAGTCACAGGCAGGCACAAGCCGCAGAGCCCACTCTTTGGGCTATATACAGAGAGCTGTGACAACCAGGTGTAGGCTGGGACAGAGTCTGTGTTTCCTGCTACAGGGTGGAGGTGATGCCATCCAGCACAAATCTAAATATGTGCCAGATCTGACTCTAGTCCTGCTTTACCCTGGAGTCCCATAGCCCCACCCCACCGCACTCAGCCCCAGGGGCCTGCCCAGAGGTGGGTGTGACCGTTACCCATCTAACAGCTGCTTGGCTACAGGCAGGACGAGGTTACATTTCTGCTTTTAGAGACTTCCTTAAAATCCCTGTACTTACTTTCTCTTTTACATTGATTATACAAGATGCACAGGGGCTGATTTATTTGTACAGTTCTTTATTTGTGGGTTTCTGGAAGTGAGAAGCTGCTCCTGATTATAGGAAGACAGAATTACTTCCCATTCCAGGCAACTATCTAGAAACAGGGACTTCACAGTTATACTTAGAATCACTGGTACTATTGCTCTAAGAATTTCACTTAGGTTAATTACTTAATCTGAGTCCTAATTTTCCCATTTGTAAAAAAGGACAACAGTAGTTGTAAGCTTTTGTGAGATAATACCTAGTGCTCAAGCAAATGTCAGCAGCCACCATTATTACTGTTGTACTTATTTTGATTACCCCAGCTGTCTCTTTCTAGCTAAGGGGTCATCAAAGAGAAGGAATTAGAGGTCCTCTTTGCTAGATGTTGCCATTACATCTGACTGTGAGGCTGTGTTAGAGGCGAAAAGATAGGTACATGGTGGCGGCAGTCATTGCATTGATTTTAAAGTGTTGAGTGACTAGCTCTTTGGATAACTAGCCTGCACATCTGGTTCCTGAGCAGGGCTTGCTTGCAATATAGATGAAAATCCTGAGCTTGAAAGAAAAAACCCCATAAAGATCTTTCCATAAATCCCACAGTTAAGACAAATATTGTTAAAGCAGGCTCTGGAAGAAACTTTAAAGTTCTTGGTGGCCTTCACTAGTGTCCCACCACCCTAGACTCCCATAGTTTATTTTGTAGGTATGTATTTAGAAAAATGTCTACCTATCAGAAAACAAACCTTAAAGTGTAGGACAGAAATCATCCTCTTGCTCTCTTAGCAAATAAACCATGTGAACATGAAGAGCAATGGCTCTCAGCCCTTGGTGTTATTTGCAAAAGGGATTTATGAAACCTTTTGAGGCTCTAAAAAGAAATCTTAATTACATCATGGGCTTATTCCACACCAAAAATATATATTGACTGGAAAAAAACCCTAATTATTTAATAGATCAAAGGTCCTTAACCTGGATCCAAATAACTTATTAACTACCTGAATGGTTAGCAGTATTAGAAATAGATCTACATTTCTGGGGAAAAGGTCTCCATAAAGTTCTCTAAAGCCACACAGTTTAAAATGTTTAAGAATCAGCACTATGCCTTTCTCAGTCCCTGTCTTGGCAGGTGTTCTTGGTTAGAAGCCATCCACACCTAAGACAGGAATGTGGTGGCCACAAAGATGCAAAAGTCACTGCAGCCCATTGAATGTGGGCTCCAGATCGTTTGACAAATGGAAAGTACATTCTAGGGCACAGGCAGCCTGAGGACGCCAGACAAGGCAAAAGCAGACTGGTTCTTTATTAATCAACTGCCTTTCCTCCAGAGAAGCCAAAGTAGAGTGCTGTGTCAGGGACATTGAAAATTGGTGCTCCCACATTACAGTGACAGAAATGTCAAGTTGGGTACAGCATGTGGAAAATGCAACACCCTGGCTGTTGTCAATCCAGGGATTCTGAGAGTGTCAGGAGCACGATGGACACACCAGTAAGAGAGGTAAATCTGCAAATATCTTTAGGAAAACTGGCCAGAGCTGGAAAAACAAGGAGCAGCAGGAAGATGAAAAAGAAGAAAGGAAGAAAAGAGGGAGGAAAGGGGAGAAAGAGGTAGGGAGAAAGAGGTAGGCAGAAAGACACTGCTCTGGAGCAATATTCTGAGGGAGGAAGTTTGTGCAATTCCCAAAACCAAAGACAAATGGTTATGTTCATCAGAGCAGCAGCAACTTCAGATGTCTGAATTTGGTATGTTCTCTTTTGTTCCATGACGACAAATGTCTCAGAGCTGCACACAACCCTAGCAGGCTCTCTCCATTCAAACCAGATCCCCAGAATTCTAGCTGCCCTTCAGGACTGCACATCCAGTTATAAAATCTACCTTCCCTGCCAAAATTTGTCCCCTTGAGGAAGACGCACTGCTCCCTCCATTGCCCAAATCATTCCTCAGGGTACAAAAGCCCTCACACAGGATTGTTTATGCAATAAGAGCCTGTGTAGTTCTGCATTTGACCTTTGAATGTTTCACTTGGTCATTACCAGCCAGTTGTTTACTAGACCTTAAACTGCTAAGGGACCACTTCAGTGATTACTAAGATTGAGGGAGCTGGTTCTGTCAAAGGCCTTAGCCAGGGTGCGGGAATTTAGCTCAGCTGTTCCCCCACCTGCCTTGAAAGTGCAAGGTCCTGAGTTCAATCCCCCGTACCAAAAAACAAAACAAAACAGCCTTATCCCTGCTTCCAACTAAGTCTCAAATAATAGTTATCTTCCTTTTAAATCTTTCTAAATCTGATTTATGACTCAGTTCTTCCTTCTGTCCCCTGTTTATGGATTGGAATTTTCATTTGGGTGGGGAGAGAGAGAGAGAGGAAGATTCTTATTCTTGTTGGAGAATGGCTTTACAGGTATTCAGTGCCCTCTACTATCTTGGTTTGCAAAAGCAAGGGTGTTTTTGTTTTTGTTTTTGTTTTGTCAACAGCTTTGAAACAAGCACTGTAAATACCTCATTTTGTTTGCTTGCCCCTCTTGGCTCCATTCCACCCACAAGGTGCCCAACTCCATCTTTCCCAGCAACAAACAAATCCTATCTTAATAGATGGCAGCTCACTCGTCTCTTACTCAAACTCCAGTCTACCCTCCAGTCATTGGAGAATTGCAGTATAAAGACGGGGACTTCACATTCCCTTCCCCCAGAGTGACCCCTGGAGGCCCAGGTCCTATGGAATCAGGCAGGGTTTGCCTTCCTCCATCCCCCACCATCAAATTCTGCTCAGACAGATGGTCCACTTTTCTGCAGGCTTCAAGTCTGCCTAGCAAGGTTTCAGTCACTTTGGCCACTTTCTTAGGCTGTTTCCCTCACCGTGGCTGACTGGTTGGTTGTGGATTGACTGACTGGATGGTTGGTGCCTCACTAAGAGAAGTCAAAGACATATGCACACGTCTTCACTGGAACGCCTCAGTGGATAAAGCGAGTTGTGCTCAAAACTGCACGTCCACCCTCCCAAGCTCCCAAATCTAAAGCAAGGATGTGAGTCTCTGCGTGGCAATAAAGGGTGTGCCCCCAGTCATCAGTCAGATGGGTGAGCTCATCTGGCCCAGTCAAGGCGCTAGAATGGAAGAGTAACCACAGTTTTGCACTCTGGGTGGGAGCTGAGCGAGTACACAGCGCTTCCACACTGCCCTCCCTACATGCCCCGCCTGATGCCCTCGGGTTGCTTCAAGCTGCAGCTGCAAACGGTCAGTGCAAAGGGCCGCAGCAGCTAGGCGGGGACAGTTTGCATGCGCTAGGTGGTGTTAAAAGCGAAAAAATCTAGAGATTGCCTAGAAAGGGACAGGTCAGTCAGGGTCATGGGCAAAGGGGGCGGCTGGGTGGAGTTTGCCGGGAGCTATCGGGGAGCCATGGGGAGGCACCCACCTCTTGATGTAGCTGCTGAGGCGGTAGAGCTGCCCATCGAGGCGCACGAAGCCATCCCCGAAGACGTTGAAGCCCCCACGCACGGCCACCGGCTCCCCGAGCCCGGGCACCACAAGCTGGTCGCCGCGCA